AAGGGGCAATCAAATGGGAACAAGAGTGTCTAATGCAGTTCCATCCTGACAAAGAAAACACCTATTCATTTTTATTATGATATGCACGGTCAAAGTTCCATCCTGACAAAGAAAACACCTATTCATTTTTATTATGATATGCACGGTCACATTCTTGATTGAGTTAAAAAAAAATGCAAAATACCACATAGTAACAAAATCATCAAATTAAAAGTGGAACAAACACATTGAGAACATGACATATAAAGCAAACAAGACCCTTTCATTCATCAGAAGAAATCTCAAAATAAACTCAGTGACCATTAAAGACCGAGAATACCAAGCCCTTTACTTATCAGGCCAAAACTAGAATACTGCTGCACCGTCTGGAACCTATATATACAACAGAGTACATCAACTCCATAGAAAAAGTCCAAAGACGTAGAGCCAGATACGTATTGTGTAAATACCACTGATATACTGAAAGTGTTACAAACATGCTAAACACACTTCACTGACCATCATTACAAGAAAGAGGACTTAAAAGCAGACTAACAATAACCACAATAAACCTATTTCTCGTATCAAACATAAACTAAAAGAACTAGCCAAGGAATTTGTTTTTGTCCCGGCCGATAAAGCTGCTAATAATATTATTATTGTTTGACGTAAATTTTACATTGAGGTTCTGAAAAAAGAAATCACCAATTCACCAACATTCCAACTGACTCCATTTTCAGAAAACGACATCTGTAACAAACATAAACTTTTAGCTACCGCTTTACAAGCAGAACCAAATACAATGAAAGTCCCAACTATGTATTGGCTTCCGAAGCTACACAAAATACCTTACAAATATAGATTCATTTCGTCTTCGAGCCATTGTTCCACTACTAAATTGTCTATTCTTCTTACCAGTACACTTGGTACAATCAAAAACCTGATAATAAATTGTTCAAATAAGGCCTTCGAAAATAGTGGAATTAATTACTTTTGGAGTGTCAAGAACTCGTTGGAAGTACTTGATAAATTGCATGCATATATTGGTGATTTTGAATCTGTTCAAAGTTTTGATTTTTCTACCCTATATACCACATTGCCTCACATTCTCATTAAGAAAAAATTCACACACCTAATTAAATGGGCATTTAAAAAGTCAGAATGTGAATATATATGTTCAAACTCTTTTAGGTCATTTTTTAGTAGCAATAAACAAAAAAACTATGTCAATTGGACATGCTTTGATACTATATATGCCCTTGAATTTTTACTAGATAACATTTTTGTTCGCTTTGGAGATTCCGTATATCGTCAGGTTATCGGAATTCCAATGGGGACTAACTGTGCACCACTTATTGCGGACCCTTTTTTTGTATTGCTATGAGTTACAATTTATGACAAAAATCAGTAAAGACCCATCGAAACAACATCTGATACACAAATTTAATAATACTTTTAGATATTTGGATGATATTTTGGCTCTCAATAATGACGACTTCAGTATGTATACTAAAGAAATTTATCCTGTTGAACTTACTTTAAATAAAGCTAATACTAACAATGACCACTGCCCTTTCCTCGATCTTGATATCTATATCATTAACGGAAAGCTTAATACTAAAATATATGATAAAAGAGATGATTTTTCATTTCCTATCGTTAATTATCCATTTTTAGATGGTGACTTTCCCTTGTCACCATCTTACGGTGTTTATATATCTCAACTTGTACGATTCGCTCGTGTATGTAACAATGTTTTAGATTTTAACGAGAGAAATTTATGTATTACTGAAAAATTATTACACCAGGGTTTTCGATATCACAAACTAGTCAAAACATTTACTAAATTTTATCATCGGTATAAGGACATCATTCGTAAATATAGCTCAACATGCAGACTTCTTATACGTTCAGGTATTTCACATCCAATTTTTTATGGAAATATTCTTTATAAAGCACAAAAATGTCAGTATTCACCTCTGAAACTAACAAAACCTTTAAATAGACTTATCAAGAAGGGATATAGTTACGATACTGTTGTCAGGTCATTAAAGATTGCATATTTTGGCGTTAATATTGATTCACTTATAGGGTCTTTGCATCGGCACTAAACACATTTATTTAAAAACCAGTTGTTGGCATGACACGGGTTATGTTCTTCTCATATATGTTATGATGGTATGATACTAAACCCCTAACGGGAAGGATTGTGCCTGATATTCATATGATGAAGACATAATCTTTCAATCAGTTTAATTGAAGTCTGGAGCTGGCATGTCAGTTAACTGCTAGTAGTCTGTTGTTATTTATGTATTATTGTCATTTTGTTTATTTTCTTTGGTTACATCTTCTGACATCAGACTCGGACTTCTCTTGAACTGAATTTTAATGTGCGTATTGTTATGCGTTTACTTTTCTACATTTGCTAGAGGTATAGGGGGAGGGTTGAGATCTCATAAACATGTTTAACCCCGCCGCATTTTTGCGCCTGTCCCAAGTCAGGAGCCTCTAGCCTTTGTTAGTCTTGTATTATTTTTAATTTTAGTTTCTTGTGTACAATTTGGAGTTTAGTATGGCGTTCATTATCACTGAACTGGTATATATATTTGTTTAGGGGCCAGCTGAAGGACGCCTCCGGGTGCGGGAGTTTCTCGCTGCATTGAGGACCTGTTGGTGACCTTCTGCTGTTGTCTGTTCTGTGGTCGGGTTGTTGTCTCTTTGACACATTCCCCATTTCCATTCTCAATTTTATTTATGTCCCATAGAATCACCATGCAACATCAAAATGTCCGTACCATGTATATAATGACATCCTAATTAAAAGCAAAGCAAACACCAGGTATAATCACGCACACAAATCATATGCAAGAAAGACAGTTACTTATGTTTTTCTCAGTTCTTCCAAACTATAAAAGCTTGGAACAAATTGCCCGAACCGATAGCCTGCAGCATATATATTAAAATATAATAGCTCAATGTAACCATGAGGTCGTATATGGAAGTGGTGAATACTATGCAATATTGATTGGAAAACCCAAAATTGATCGACGCACGTACAGGGGATATAGAACATAGTGTCTATACTTCTTTTTAAGCTTATAATTGGTTAATTATGTACGTACATCATCTACGAAATTTCATTAATATTTCGCCTGTACAATCGAACCTGTCATGAATAATTGTCGTTGCTTCTACTTTATTTGGATGTATTGCCATATTATTGTATTTTTTTCATATAAAAAAGAATCGCAATTCTATTAGAAAAATATCGATTGCAAAAGTTTTTATAATAAAAACATAGTGCTATTCTATTAGAAAAACGTCGAACTCATATAAAAAAAACATAACATTATTGGCAAGTTGTATATACGTTTGTCCTGTTAAATACGTCTATTTTAAAAAGAATAAATAGTACTTGTAACGATGAATCTTCTTTTATTCCTACAAATTCCAACATTCGTCTGAGATTTCCCACAATGCATCTCGTTTACAAAAGAAAATATCGCAACTCTACATTCAAATTGTCATTCCAAAGTTTGGTAAACCACGTCAGACTCTGTTCGTTAATCGTTAAGATTCGTATTTTACGTTAAATTACTTTTAAAAGCAACAGATATGCAAAATGCTCATCTAGTAAAACACACATAATAAATATATGTAATACCTGAAATGAACACAAAATGGTATCAGATATGGATAACAGTACATCTATAAAAAAAAATTCGACCCCAATTTATAAAAAAAACCAATCTGATTAAAATTCTGATCCACATTAACTCGCGTGCTCGCATATCTTATGAAGATAACAAAATTTGAGGTCTACATTTTAATTAGATTGTATAAAAAATCAACTCCGTAATTAAATACCAAATGATCCCAAATTACATACTGACTGAAAAATTATAAAAACGGTTTCATCTAAAAACAGAGATTCTGTATCAGGCAATTTTTCTCTGTTCTTCAAGTTATTTGTTTGCCAATAAAACTCATTTTATCATCAAATTATTCTCTAATATAAAGGATTTGTATAGTAAGAACTATACAAATCCTTGCTAATATCTTTTATCGTTTGTCCCATTATTCTCCATATTCAATTATTCATGATGAAGTTTTAAACTACCTGGTACAAAACATACTCATCATAAAAGTTCGTTTATAATGTTAATTAGTACCACAAATGTAACCGTTGCAATTATTCTGGAATAGTTTTTCATTAGGCAGTATTTTGTACTGACGGCCAAATAAAGGGTATATAGAATATTTGTTCAAACAGGAACATATATTATATAGCATTGTTTATAACAAAGTTTCCAGAGGAACTTATGTTAGGAGGAACAAATATATGTTGACATAATCATATTATTACGTTCCATTGATCACTTAAAATGCTTGCCATTTTGGACAAAAAAGGTACCATCTAGCTTTGTAAGTGGGTCTCGAGAGTAAGTAGAAAAAATTTGGTTAAAAGCGGAACAAGGGTGCCGAGTTAATTACATGTACATCGGGTGTCGAATCAATCGGAGGTGCCGATTTTACTTTATAAAAATAAGGAGATGAGGTATGATTGCCTATGAGACACTGAACTATCCACCAAAGTTCAAACGAAGTGGATGTAAGCAATTATAGGCAACCGTACGGCCTTCAACAATGAGAAAAACCCATACCGTATAGTCGGCTATAAAAAGCCCCGACATAAAAAAATATATAACAAAACGTGCTGCTGATTTAACTCATTCACAAAGAATATAAATTATTTTAAACTTTAAAAATATACATTTCAATGTTTTAGTCACAATATTGATTTCGTTCTCATTTGCAGTAACATCTGCTTCATATCAACTAATTGATTGTATTACTAAATGTGAAACTTTTCAGATTGTTAATCAATAATTTCGTTTTGTTTAAAGATCCAGAAAAGGGGATTACTTAGTCAGTAGTCTATAATATATATTGATCAATATTTAAGCCAATCAAATGACAAGAATTATTCTATCGTCCAATCAAAATGATGGATTTCAGGATTTTTCGACAGCATGGGGGTGGCCATCTTAGCCCAGTGAGAACAAAGGGAGAAACAAGAAGTCCAACGGCCAACAGGACATTTTAACACCTTTTTACCATCAAGAGAGGCCATGTCCGACTCCGAAAAAGAACCGGAGACAACATCCGCCCCAGATAAGAAGATCATAGGTATTTTTTAATAATATTGAATTATTGGAAATGTTAGAAACGGAAAAACAATTAATTGGGTCATTTACCGCGTGGTCACCACGCTGGATTCCGTTCATACATGTTGTGCCGGTATTTTTTAGATCGTTGCTTCATTAAAAACTAGACTCATAAACTAACAAAATCATTAACTAGAATATAAATGCAAACTAGAACATTGCCAAATATGGTCGAAGGCATGTGTAAGACGTTTCTTTGTCCGACATCGATAAGATAACGACGTATATCCTAACTCTGTCCCAGGGTTCTCACAATGGTGCAAAATTGAACTCGTCCTTTAAGTTGGATAAAATCGACTTTCCCATGAATCAAATTTAATTACATACAGAAATGCATGTTTCCCACATTCACCTCAAGAAAAATCATTTGATACATGTAGCTCAATTTCATTTATACCTAACCTTGAACATGTTGAACATTATACAATTAAGACTGGTATTATTTCCACTATCATCTCAGGTTTTTTTGCAGTCTTGATGATTCCATCTAGGATATTTCATACTCCATGAATTATTTTAACATGGAGTTTGTTATCATAAACAATAGATGTATCCATATGAAGCAGTCTTAATGATTCCATCTAGGATATTTCATACTCCATGAATTTTATCATAGAGTTTGTTATCATAAACACTTAGATGTATCCATGTGAAGTAAAGATAAAATGCAATTAAAGGATCTCAAACAGGAGGGGGATATCTCGCACAGACGCATTTCATAAACTACGGGTCTTTTGCCTTAATACCTGTTCGCACTGGGTTTGTTCGCTATGTTTATTAATTTGAAAAGAGTATGTTAAAGTTTGTTAAAAATTTCGCCAGATATTATGTTGTATTGCTGCTAACAAATAATTATTTTCCTTTAATCTGCAATGTAGAGTAATAGGAATACAAGGTATTTAAGGCTGAAATTAAAATATTATTTGTTTGCAGTTTACCGACCGACCTTCGAAAATCCGCCTGACTGTGAACATTTTATTGCTTTTAATTTGAAGAAATTATTTTTAATACTTCTATCGACTCGATCTGGAATTTCGGGCCGTTTCCGGAATTGATTCCAAGTCTAGGTTAATTACATGTTTGAAGTTAGGTTTTTCTTCCCTTCCTGTCAAGTGTCATCGGACCCTTTAATGGTAAAGCACATGGAGATTGTTTACAGGTATCCACGAAGTCATGGAGGAGTACTTTATTCTGTCGTCTTCTGTCAATTTTAAGACAAATAATACACAGAAAAGTTTCAAAGTAAACTGTTTATACTGATTCAGGCAGAATTGCACACGGAATGATGTCTTCGATGATATCATTGACGATGATGCAGCGGATATTCATAAAACCAACACGATAACCGTTTCTGTCTCAAACAAATCGGATACAGAATCTTTTGAGACTGACTTTATGGAACAAATATCAGTGGTTCAACAATTCGACAGGAGCCTGAAGTATGCCATATTTTCTTTAAATCGTCGTGAAGACGACAAAGATGAAACCACTCCTCCGTGACTTCATGGATACCTGTATTTTGTAAACACGCCTATACGGTGGAAGGACGCATTTGAAATGTTAAATCAATAAGAAGCCACACAAACTACACAAAGATGTAGAGAAAATGAATGGTTGGCTTGAGAAATAAATATATTCTCTCTCTATCAAATCTATCTTCGATTGCAATGAGTATGCTCCTTTAGGATAAGGGGGGGGCTGTCCCACTCATTGCAATTATTCTCTCTCTTACAATATTAAATATACCCAAACTGTGTGGCCTGTGTGAATTCTTAGCTAGGAGCTATGCTGCCAATTTTTTATGCAGACAAAACATTTCAGTACAGACCATTTACTTTTAATTTTTGTTTGTTTTAATTAAAGCCTGGCATCAACATATCTTTCCAAATATAACCTTTATAACAGTAAGATGTCTAATATATTTTTTTTAAGTTGTCTTTTTTTTCAATTGAGGAAGATTCAATGGTTGATTTTTTTTTTTTAATACACTCCTAAATTGTCTTTTGAATCTTTAATATCTACATTTTTCTGATGCAAATACTCTACTCATGAAAACATTCTAGTAAAAATGTATATATGTCAATGAATATGTTTCTTTACAACAACTCTAGTCATTCCTTGTTTATTAGTGTTCCAGTACTTCATAATACCATAATTTTATGTCATAAATTGTATAATGACACTATGTTAAGTTTCAGTTTTGGTTAAAAAGGTGTTTACCTGAAAATGCCTGTTCATTTCATGTTGGTTTTCAGTGTTTGTTGTTTTAAAATGTTTTTTCCTCACAAGAAACTTGGTTTGTGTTAAACTGCTTGTTTACACTTTATTCTGGCTGATAAAATAAAATATTTTTCCTACCTACAGACCCTGCAGTCTGAAGGTACAGTCGGAAAACTGCAAACAAACATATTTTTAAGGTTGGCCTAATATAAAACAACTGATGACCATGTTATCTGCTTGTATTTATCTTTACTGATACATTTTAACAATTTCAAAACAATCATTAACCGTTATACCAAGATCCAATTCAAACTTTGCATCAAATACCAGTTACAAAAATGTATATCCTTACCACCAATTTACCAACTTTTATTTTAAAGACCACATGATATATAGGAAATGTGTCAAAACAAACTTAAGAACAAAGAAGCCAAGATGTGCACGAAAAAATCCCTTTCATCTCACTCTTTACAATTTGTACATCTTTGTTATTACTCATTCCAAGCTGACTAGTTTATTAACAAAAAAATGTTTCTTTCATTATTGAAACACCAAAGACAATTAATACTAAAATAATGTAGAAAGTCTTATAACAACAACACTGGAGGGACTGCTGCAGAAAATTTATTGATCGACATGTTTCGGTGCCTAGGGCACCGTCATCAGGACTAAAATACTAAAATAAGTGCATGGATTTTTCTAGCATTCCACAGGGTCCGGTATTCGGACCCATTCCCAATGGCAAAAACCCTACATTTTTCCCAATTTCTACATGTAACTGACGAAAAACAACATCGACAAACAATGGCTGACATAAACCGGAAATGTAGACAATTACAATACCGGATCAGATTCCGGGAGCGGACACTGCTAATTCTGGGTTTGCCGATCAAAAACAATAAATAAATTTTAAAAAATCTAGGCAGATGACAAAGGACGGCTATGAAATATAAACACTAGAATTAAAAACCAATAGGTCTATGAAAAAGAAAGAAGAAACAGAAAATGTTTAATACAGAAACTCAAATTTTTTTTTTGTTCACAAATTTTCATGTCAAAATCCAATAAAATGTAACATTACTTTTCTTATTCACTAAAACATGTTGATATAAGTTGTTTTTATAATGCTAACAAATAACTACAGATCAATGAATTAATTTTTTCTTCTCAATTTTGAAGGGCCAGTCAAAATCTGGAAGAGCAAGTGAATTAAAAGAAGTGTTAGCCTGCTTGGCCAGTTAAAATACATCTTATTTCTATCCCTGAATTATTTATATTATATTAACCATATTAACTGTTGCTGTCTTTGAAGATAAAAAAAGGGGGAAAAGTTTTGTCACATGTGTGCTTTAAAAACTACAATATTTTAATGCTAGATAAACTTGAGTTCCTTATTGTTAAGTTGAGAAAAGAAAGAAAGAACAGAAAATAAAATTATAAACAACAAAAAAAGATAATTCTTAATGAACTTAACACAATAAAACTCGCATCTGGTATATTAGTAGTTATCCCAATTTAATTGTAAATCGTGTAAACAAATTCCCAAAACTTGCCAGAGTCCTTTTTCCCAAAATGCCCAGATAAACCCCTGAAGTGAGATCAAAGACTTCATAATTATACATTGTACCTAAGCAGCATTCTTAATTACAATCAACAGTGTTTTTAAAATTAATTCTAAATAAAACAAATGCAAGAGTGGAGCCAATTAATGCTCCAAAACAAGCCATAATTTTTTAAATATTTCCATGTTTTTTCATGAACTTTGAGAATATATATTTTCTTTAATATTGATCATATAAATATCTTAATAAGTTTATTAAACCTTAATACCACTATATAAGTTTGTTTTAAAGAAGGGCGACCGACCTGATCCCCATTTCATGCAGGTTTTTTATCCCTCTCCAATACTATGCATAGGGGCATTAAGTGTGTCCCTTGACTGTTCCAGTTCAGTTCTGCACTCAAAGGAGTTTTCCTCATTCAACTTTTATGAAACTCGTACACTTGAATTTTGGCAGTGAGTGATTTACTGTTTTAGAGTTATGATACTGTATAACTTGGAAAATTGGAAATTTTTTCGTTTCATTACTAGCAGTGATATCAAATGCCCTCGAAAAAGTATTTTCACATATTTTAAGCTAGCTTGAGCAGGGGCATTGAGGTTCTCAGACACATTCTTCATTTATTTTTAACCAATTTGCATGAAAGTTGATAATGAATGAGCTTCGAGCATGAAGACGTAAACTGTTTACACCTCCACCAAAATAACCTTTTACAACCTGCCATTAAGTGTGTATGAAATATTTTGTCCTTTAATTTGAAAAGATTTCTTATGTATCAGATTGGATGGGTACTCCATTCAATCATAAAATTTTCTCTTTGAAGTCCTGTGATAAGATTCCATTACTTTTACAACATCCTTATCAAAACCACTAAAGATACAATGTAAGATGATTAACAGTTATCATTGTGTTATCAATAATCATGAAAATGCATAGACTAAAGTTCAAGGGTATGGGTATTGATTCCAACTAGTCAAGTGTCTTTTGTGCTGTCTGTTTAATATATTAAAGCAGGCCTCTGTGGTTGAAGTTGGAAGTTAATCTACTGTATCACTAGCCTGTGATGTTTTGAGTTTGATACATGTTTACCGGCAATAAAGTTGTCAGAGGAATCCTGCCCATGGCAGGTGCGTTAGGCCGCAATTAAAAATATCTTTGTTTCCCCTTACCCTACCCACCATTTTGGAAGTGGGTAGGTAGGTAGGCTTTTTTTTTTTTTTTTTTAGAGAAAATCCCTGAAATATATCTAACACACAGGAAAACACAGAAAAACAACAAATTGAACTTTATTGATACTAAAACAACATACTGTATAACGTAATATGCATGACTAGAAGACCTTACAATTTCAGACTAGAAAATGTTTGTAAATATCAATGTCTTTGTGACTTAGAGTAGACCACATATAAATTGAGACACGGTTCTATATTTTTCTTATACTTTTATTAATTCAATTGAAAATATAAAACCCCAACGAGACTGCTACCTAGTAACATTCGATGCAAAAAATATGTACACTTGTTTTCCATTTAAGGAAATACTAGAAGCCACAAACCGTGATCCAAGCGAGTATGACTACGCCTATTAAGGCTTATTCTAGAAAACTATGAATTTATTTTTAACAATAAACTTTACCATGAAACCTTGGGCGCGTCTATGTGCGGATCAGTATTCGCTGAGTTAGCAGACCTTACAATGTTTGTTAATTCTTGAACACATTTTACAACGCTTTCAACATAGAGAAACAAAATGATAATGATAGTTGAAGTTCACCTACGAATTTTCCTGTAATGAAACAATATTCTTAGACACTGTCATAATTATACAAAGGAGAAAGATTCTTTAACGAAGGCATAGTATGATACAAGACATTAAAACCAATATCAAACCAACTGAAACATAGCAATATCTGCACAGACACTGCTCACACCCAAAAAGTGTTTTCATTGAAAGGATTTATCAAGGGTGAAGTATTGAGGTATCTCAGAAAAACAAGCAGCAAAACTGATCTTAAAAAACAGTAAGAAGCTCAAACGAGGATATAAAATATCTGAAATCAACGATTTTTTTTATCAAACACAAAATACAGAAAGGGAAAACTTGCTAACACATCGCCCAGCGAAATGGGAGCAACCGCTAGTAATGTTAACAAAATTCAACCCATCTATACAGAAACTAAAAATATAATAATGAAACACTGGCATCTTATTTCACAAAACCCTGAATGTGTGACCATATTTAATCATCAGCCCATTATAGCTTATAAAAGACATAAGAACTTACAAGAACTTTAATCAAAGCATTAGCTGGTATAGTCATCTCGACTTTTCACAACACAATATGATATTGATACTGAGCTCGAAAAAAATCAACTACTATTTTATCCAAAGACAACTAGTGTATGGTCCAATATCACATACGAAATGAAACAAAATAGCATAAATAGCACGCCAATATACAACTTATTGAGTCAACCACTGATAACGGCGAACTCAGGGATTTACCACAATTTGGGCACAAACACGGCAGAAACACCAGGCCTAACATTTAAGCTCAAGGGTGAGCTCGGATGCGCAATCGTAACTACTCGGCCATTCTCGCTACGCATTTTGTTATTGGAGGCGTAGCTAGAAAGGAAGAGTAGTTAAGATTGCTCGGATGCATTTATTTAAAACATTATTCCATTCCAATTTCAGTATCCTTGCATACGTTGTTTACCCTTTGCTGCAAACACACGGGCGACAATGATTTCGCGGAATGTTGAAAATACGGACCATTCAAGGAAACGAAATTAAAAAAACGAACTTTTGAGCGAAACGAAAAAAAAAAAAAACAACGTGATTTTCGAAAAAAATTATTTCAGTCGGCGGATTTTTGGAGGGTCGGTCGGGTAAGGGGAAACAAACTTAATTTTAATTTTGGCCTTAGACTAATCTAAATTGACTAGGACTGTCGTCTTCCTGTTGGCGGTCATTGGTTTTCTCAGGGCACTTCTGCTTCTTCCACCAGTGAAAAACTGATTGCCATGAGATATCTTATAGTGCTAAAAAACGTTAGAACAACTTTTAATGAATCAATCTTTTAATATTCTATATTCTGTTTTCAGCAAGCAAAGTAAGTGGAACAGTAAAATGGTTCAATGTAAGAAGCGGATATGGTTTCATTAATAGGTAATTTGTTTATTTAGCCTTTTATATACATGTACATTGTACCTACAAAACATAATTACATGTATATAAAGGTTTATTCAAACATTTTAAAAAACAGTATTTTAAAGGTTAGAAATCCATGTACAAATATATATATAGCAGGAAACCAAAACTTTGAAAACTTAAAATGAATTGGGATTACATGTTAGTTGTAAAATTACTTTAGGACAATTAAAAAAAATCACTTTATAAATTGTAAAGAAACAAACCACGTCTGAATGAAAAAGATAGGAAGATCTCTTGGCTTTAAGGTCACCAGTTCCAAGGTCAAGTTCATAGTTACAAACTATAGACCAAAATGTCTCTTTAAAAACAATGCTAACTACATGTAGTCAAAAATGTACATGTACAATCACATTATTGAGAAAACAGTCGTACTTGACTTTGCCAGCTGTCTACCTGTTTTATTAGTAACTCTCACTATTTCTTTTCAGAGATGACACAAAAGAAGATGTATTTGTCCATCAAGTAAGTATTTAGAGACATGCATACATGTACAATGTATCTGGTAAAGTGCTATCTTTATTCTGTCATTCAGACTGCCAGCCTGTTCAATCTGTGCCAAATTTTATGTAAAAACAAATATAAAATCTATGTATATGTTAAAATGCACATTTAAAAAAATGTAGATGAAGTGGTGTTGATCAGAACAAAATTATCCAGTTGTTGATTTTTTTCTATTTAATGCATAAAATTTTAATATTCAAAGAAAAAAGTATCTTAAAAAAATGGAAACCTTTTAATTGATATCTCCATGTAAATGTAAGTAATGTCTTGAAACAATTCAAAATATCCATTTTGTACATGTACACACTTTTTTTGTACAATTTTCTGGATTATTGGACAACAAAACTGCATTGTACAATGTGACAGTATAAACAAGTAACACAAGAAAAACTCTTCAAATTCTTACATTATTTCAGTATGAATGAAAACCAATTATAATCAGAGATTACTGTTCTATTATAATTTCAATTAATTTATTATAATTTTCCAGTGGATTCACTTTGCATAAGATTAACGATTTTCCACTCTTGTAATGGTGATTTAATCCTTCCCACTTCAAATGGAAATTGTGAGTCATGAATTTTATCATTTGAACCAGCAGGTTGCCATTGCAGACAAGATAGATATGGATAGGGGTTATTAATATATTTTGTCATGATATCAATATATTTGTGTTATATACATACATGTATGTTGCAAATGACTATAAATTATGATTTTTATACGACCGCAAAAATTGAAAATTTTTTGGTCGTATATTGGTATGACGTTGGCGTCGTCGTCGTCGTCGTCCGGCGTCGTCCGAAGACACATTGGTTTTCGCACTCTAACTTTAGTTTAAGTGAATGGATCTCCATGAAATTTTACCATAAGGTTCAATACCACGAAAGGAAGGTTGGGATTGATTTTGGGGGTTATGGTACCAACAGTTAAGGAATTAGGGGCCAAAAAGGGGCCAAAAATAAGCATTTTTGTAACTTCCAGACAATAACTTGTGTGTAAGTGTATGGATCTCTCTGACATTGTACCACAAGGTTCCATATCACAAAGGGAAGGCTGTAATTGATTTTGGGGGTAATTGCCTCAAAATTTTAGGAATTAGGGGCCAAAAAAGGGGCAAAAAACAAGCATTTTTCTAGTTTCATGACAATAACTTGTGTGTAAGTGTTTGGATATTTCTGAAATTGTACTACAAAGTTCCATATCACAAAGGGAAAGCTGGAATTGAGTTTGTGGGTAATTGCCCGAAACGTTTAGGAATTGGGGGCCAAAAAGGGGCCAAAAATAAGCATTTTTCTAGTTTCCAGACAATAACTTGTGTTCAAGTGTATGGATCTCTCTGAAATTGTACTGCAAGGTACCATACCACAAGGGGAAGGCTGGGATTGAGTTTGGGGGTGATGAATCATAAGGGGGTTCAAAAAATTTGGGGGGGGGATTTTTTTTTTTTTCTTTTTTTCCTTTTTTTTTTCTTTTAAAATTTTCCATTTTAAGTTGGTTATTTCTGATTAATTTTTAAAAGCAAATAATAATGATATGGTAGGAGATACACACCAAACAGGATGTGTAAATTATTATATAATAAGTATTGTGCAATAGCAAGAAATTTTCAATTGCACAGTATTGCACAATTGCAAGAAATCTTCAATTGCACAGTATTGCGCAATAGCAAGAAATCTTCAATTGCACAGTATTGCGCACTAGCAAGAAATATCCAATAGCACAATATTGCACAATAGCAAGAAATTGTCAATTGTACAGTATTGCACAATAGCAAGAAATATTCAATTGCACAGTATTGTGCAAAAGAAGATACTTCGTATAAATTGCTTATTTCTTGATCAATTTCAATGGGGTTTTATTCTTGAATTCTTAGGGTTCTTTAATATGCTGAATCTAACCGTGTATTAAGTTTTTGGATTTTGGGCCCCGTTTTTAAATTGGTCCACATTGAGGTCCAAAGGGTCCAAAATTTAACTTTGTTTGATTTCATCAAAAATTGAATTATTGGGGTTCTTTGATATGCCGAATCTAACCGTGTATTTTGATTCTTAATTTTTGGTTCCGTTTTCAAATTGGTCTACATTAAGGTCAAAAGGGTCCAAAATTAAACTTAGTTTGATTTTAACAAAAATTGAATTTTTAGGGTTCTTTGATACGCTGAATCTAAACATGTATTTAGATTTTTGATTATGGGCCCAGTTTTCAAGTTGGTCCAAATCGGGGTCCAAAATTAAACTTTGTTTGATTTCAACAAAAATTGAATATATGGGGTTCTTTGATATGCTGAATCTAACCATGTATTTAGATTTTTGATTTTTGGGCCCCGTTATCAACTTTGTCCACATTGAGGTAAAAAGGGTCCAAAATTAAACTTTGTTTGATTTCATCAAAAATTGAATTCTTGGGGTTCTTTGATATGCTGAATCTAACCATTATTTAGATTTTTTATTTGTGGACCCGCTATCAAATTGGTTCATATTGAGGTCAAAAGGGTCCAAAATTAAACTTTGTTTGATTTCATCAAAAATTGATTTATTGGGGTTCTTTGATATGCCAAATCTAAACATGTGTTTAGATTTTTGATTATGGGACCAGTTTTCAAGTTGGTCCAAGTTGGGGTCCAAAATTAAACTTAGTTTGATTTTAACAAAAATTGAATTCTTGGGTTTCTTTGATATGCTGAATCTAAACATGTGTTTAGATTTTTGATTATGGGACCAGTTTTCAAGTTGGTCCAAGTTGGGGTCCAAAATTAAATTTTGTTTGATTTCAACAAAAATTGAATATATGGGGTTCTTTGATATGCTGAATCTAAACATGTATTTAGATTTTAGATTTTTGGCCCAGTTTTCAAGTTGGTCCAAATTGGGGTCCAAAATTAAACTTTGTTTGATTTCAACAAAAATTGAATATATGGGGTTCTTTGATATGCTGAATCTTACCATGTATTTAGATTTTTTATTTTGTGGGCCCGCTATCAAATTGGTTCATATTGAGGTCAAAAGGGTCCAAAATTAAACTTTGTTTGATTTCATCAAAAATTGAATTATTAGGGTTATTTGATATGCCAAATCTAACCGTGTTTTTAGATTTTTAATTTTGGGTCCCGTTTTTTAAATTGGTCTACATTAAGGTCCAAAGGGTCCAAAATTAAACTTAGTTTGATTTTAACAAAAATTGAATTCTTGGGGTACTTTGATATGCTGAATCTAAACATGTGTTTAGATTTTTGATTATGGGACCAGTTTTCAAGTTTGTCCAAGTTGGGGTCCAAAATTTAACTTTGTTTGATTTCAACAAAAATTGAATATATGGGGTTCTTTGATATGCTGAATCTAACCATGTATTTTGATTTTGGACATTGGACCATAATAGGTAAATTAAACAAATTGAAGTTCTTAGACCACATTCTTTCTGTGTCAGAAACCTATGCTGTGTCAAATATTTAATCACAATCCAAATTCAGAGCTGTATCAAGCTTGAATGTTGTGTCCATACTTGCCCCAACTGTTCAGGGTTCGACCTCTGCGGTCGTATCAAGCTGCGCCCAGCGAAGCATTTTATTTAATTATGAAAAAATAAATTGAGTAAACCTTACAATGATATAAGAAAATGGGAATTAAGTGTGGGAAATTTTACAAATTATGATTTACCTGTAACAATATGCATCTTCTACAGATTTCCATACATGTAAATGTATGCAGTTCCTATTGTGAATGCCTGATCCATACTAAGCATTCGACAAATTCTTTTTGAAGTAAGTTCTATACAAATCTCCAAATTGAATTTTGGAATTTGTCATTTTCTAATTTGAGAAAATATTAAAACAAACTGGCTTTTCATTTGTGAGGAATAATTTTTCAGACGGCCATCGTAAAAAACAATCCAAAGAAGTACTTGAGAAGTGTAGGTGATGGTGAAACTGTAGAATTTGATGTGGTTGAAGGAGAGAAGGGAAATGAAGCCTGCAATGTGACTGGTCCAGATGGGGAACCTGTCCAAGGAAGCAAGTATGCTGCTGATAGACGTCGTTACCGAGGTAGAAGATACTACAGAGGTAGAGGTGGTGGTGGAGGTCGTCGCTATCCTCCAAGACAGGTAATTTAAATTTGTATTATACAAACTTCTTGAGCAAATCTTTCAGAATGAAATATCAAAATACAATCAGAAATTCATCTTTAAACAAATTTTCTTGTCTTGTTTCTCTTTTCTATATATGATTTTAAGGCCAAATAAAAATATATGAGTGGTTCCAGTAATGTCTTGAAAAAAAGTGAATTGTAAAAATCTGGAAAAAATCTTGCTTTCACCCTGTTTTTATTCGTTATTATACACGCCCCTACTGGAAGTTACCTATTTTCTATATGTTTGGTTGTGAAATTAACAGACATGTTACATTTTAGCTCATTTTTTGCATTTTGTGAAGAATTTGTTGCATTTTTAGTGGTAATGGATACTTCCAACAAAATGGGATCTTTCAAAACATTTTTTCAGAATTGCAAAAAAAAGGTTCTAGGGTCGGTCCGAAAACTGTAACAACACATACCTGTATTTGGCCTAATGATTATATTTTATGATAAATATTAAAGTAAAATAGTTACATGTATCTATGAGGGAAAGTGCGGCACTGATCAGGCTTCTACATCATGTACATGCAATGGTGTATAACACGTCAACCTTGGTTGTCGGAATCATTCGTAGCAGGCATATTCATGGTAAAAATTGCATTTCAGGAAAGCAGTACAGTTGATATATACATGTATTTAATAAATTCAAATGGCACTCCAATCTCTGACAGCTATTTGTCAAATTGAAATCCTTTACTGGCTATAAATAACCAGATACAGTGTAAACAGTTGTCTCTGATAGTTGGATTTCCCTTATTATCCTGCCAAAAAGCACATGGCTGTCAAAAAGTAAACACACTATTGTTGCATGTGATCATTGTTTGTTTGCAACATAATTGCTTTTATTGAAATAATTTGTATATATATATTCAATTTAAGGTACAGTCAAGCATTTGCATTTATTGGATAGTTTGCATGCAATTTTTGTCTTGCCTTGACGGAGTCAAAAAGCGAGACATATGTATGCTGTTTCTGGCGGCGGCGTCATCAACAATATATTAGTTTGTGATTAGGTCTAGTTTATGGTGAACCACTAGTGGTAGGTCAATGATATTTGGTGTGCAGTTGAATTAGCATTGGCACATCTCATTACCATGGAGATTATTTGGCCCCGCCCCCTCAGTCATGGTTTATTGACTTTGAAACTTTGCTTAGTTTTCATGTATTAGTTTGTGATTAGGTCAGTTTATGGGGAACCACAAGTGGTAGGTCAATGATATTTTGTATGCAGTTGTATAAGCATTGGCATATCTCATTTCCATGAAGATTATTTGGCCCTGCCCTGTCAGTCATGGTCTATTGACTTTTAAACTTTTGCTTAGTTTTCATGTATAGTTTGTGATTAGGTCAGTTTATGGGGAACCACTTGTGGTAGGTCAATGATATTTGGTATGCAGTTGTATAAGCATTGGCATATCTCATTTCCATGGAGATTATTTGACCCCGCCCCTGCAGTCATGGTCTATTTCCTTTTAAAATTTTGCTTAGTTTTCATGTATTAGTTTGTGATTAGATCAGTTTATCAGGAACCACTAGTGGTAGGTCAGTGATTGGTATGCAGTTGTATAAATATTCGCATTTCTCAATTTCCATGGAAATTATTCTGCCCCGCCCCTTCAGTCATGGTCTATTGACTGAAACTTTTGCTTAGTTTACAAGTTAATGTTTGTGTTTAGGTTTCTTTAAAGGGAATGACTTATGAAAAGTCAATGGTATTTGGTATGCAGTTGTATTAGCATTGGCACATCTCATTTCCATGGAAATTGTTTTGCCCTATACCTTTAGTCATGGTTCATTGACTTTGAATATTTGCATAACTTACATGTTAAAGTGTTGTTATTTTAATTTCAACATTTGCATTTTCAAAATAACAAATAGGCGAGACATATCTCTGTGTTAACAGTTTATTTAAATAATTTTCAACTGGGAGAAACTTGGCCATCCGACCTTGTTTACCCATGAGATTGAGAGATAATGTAAATAACTGCAGTCTCCCATTTAAGTTAATATTTCCTATTTAGGCCGTTTTTTTTCATAAACTCTTTGGTCTTCAATTCTGGAGTTATTTAATTTGGACAGTTTGGCCTTAGGAATGTACATTTGTAATTGTTACAAATCTTTCCATTTTAGATCATTTTAACTTCAATAATTTATGGGGCTGATGTTTTTAATAATTGAAATTTCGTCGTCAATGTGACTTATTACAAAAAATATACTTGGACCAATCAACATGTGATGAGAACTCTCAAAAACATGACTTGATTACTTGACAAATCAGAAACACGCGCAGCGAACTCTCACAAATGTGACTTGATATTTAGACCAATCAACACAACAGGATCTCAACCAAATCAAATAAGTTATTTATAGTCACAGAACTGAGACGGTGAAAACACCGGACATACGGACCAGAATTGACATACAATTTGATGGACCTGTGTCTATTTCATCAGTCAGTTTGTCTAGTTATCCTTTGACGTGGGATTTTGGTGTATAGCAACCACTAAAGCATGTGGGTGCAACACCACTAGACAATGTGCCAGTAAAAATCAAAATACATTCTGAAAGAATATTAGCTGGGCATTAAATCGATATTAACCTGACTTTGCAAGCGATGACCAATCCTTATATAGCATATTTTACCTCTGCTTATTTCACACAGGAAAAATTTAACATGATGCTTAATGTATGATATTTTTCTTATTGATTACAATACACCTTATCGCTATTCCCGCTTGACCCGAGAATCTGTCCCGCTCAAACTTTTGACGTCACACAACAATCACTTTTCCATTGTGGCGTCAGATATTTTCTATTATGACGTCAAAATTTTACGGGAACTTGTGTGATGTCCAGTAATGGCGGACAAATAGCGATAAGGTGTATAGTTCATGGATACATTTTTTTATAGGATTTACGAACTAAAAAATCTATTTTGATAAATAGTTCAGTGGATACAGATTTCTCAATAGAATTGACAAACAAAAGTCCATATGCAATGTTCAGATAAATGAAAAATGTGTTATCATAATCCAAATATAAGATAGTGATTACATAATGTTTGTTTACATTATTGACAAAGCTATGTAGTTCTATATTGGCCTGGTCTGAACAACTAATCTGAAATTTTTTTATCTGTGTCCTTGTTCAATTTAATTCTGTATGTTTTTTTTTTGTCTTGAAATGTACTAATCAAAACTATATCAGCTATTCTTTTAACTTTAATTACATTTTATTTAGATAACAACAGTAAGAAAGTCATCGTAAATCCGCACCCACTCCATCATCCCGACCGGTCGAATAGTTGATGTGGTCAAACTTAAAATGAAAATATAAACAAAACAGCTGATTGTTTACGTTATGTTCATCCCATGCATCATAAAATTATAACTCAAACAATCGCCTGGTTCCATTTTTAATTGTCTACATTTTAAATTCGTAGAGGTACAAAGTCAATGATGTCCTTATTAGATTCAATCATGAACTGTATTCATACACTGTCGTTTCAAAAATGTGCAAACATAATTATGAAATTCAAAAAAATGTCCGCCATTAAAATTTTTATTTCGATCAATGGGAAATAACTCGAAATGGTCTTGCTAAAAGATGAATCACAGATTGGAATTTAAATTACGGCAGGGAGTAATGAAATACTATGGAAAAAGGGCGTGCCACCAATTTTTTTCCAAAAAAGGGCAGGGCATCAAGAAAAAAACAGCAGGGCCCAATACCACGCCAAAACCTCCTGTAGGAAACACTAAATAAATACCTTGCAGCTTTGTACTGACCAATCCATGGTGTCTGTAGAAGTATCAATTAACTAAGATTAATTTTTTTATCCCCATTTTTGTGTGAATAAGAATTATTATAGCAGTGAAGAAAAAATATTGACCTTTATTTCAGAGACAAGATGATGAAGAAGGTGAAGGTGAAGAAGAGGAAGAAAGAGAGGGCGAAGAACGAGAACATCGTCCTGCCAGACGTCGTCCATTCTATCGTGGATTCAGAGGAGGTTACAGAGGTGGATATGGAGACCGTGGAGGATATGGTCCACCCCGTCGTGGTGCTCCAAGATATGACATGGGTGTGGATGGTTACCGTCGTAGACCATTCTACCGAAGGTATTACGGCCCACCTGGTTACTATGGTGGAGGGCCACAAGGAGATTATGATAGTTATGGAGGTGGAGGTGGTGGTGGTGGTGGAAGACCTTACAGAGGACGCGGTAGAGGCAGAGGGAGAGGAAGAGGAAGGAGGAACTTCAGACGTAGGGTAAGGCTGATATGTATTAAAATCATCTGGTGAAGATATAAATACATGATTAAGATCTTTACGTCAGGATTAGATTGCATGTATTACAAGTTTAAAACACTACTATGGTAGTGTGAGAAAAGATCTGTAAATTGAACTTGAGGTAAGGCCAAGAAGAAAAAGATGCGTTTCAGGTCACCCGACCGACCCTAACTTTTTTATACCAAAAAGCAGAGGTTTTACTACAAAAACTGCTGATAAGACAGACACTGCAGCTGATTTGTAGGTTAGCTTCTGGAAATAATTTGTAGTTTAAAGAATTTTTCACAAAACTTTACGGCTGTGTAATGAGGACTCTTATTATGTCCATGTTTGGCCTCTTCATCCTCGGAAGACTTGCAATCTGGTTATGACAAACTAAACTATCATTTCCAAAACTTTTAATTTCGCTTTCATCAATATCTGATTGCATAAATTCTTTACTTTCGCTATACGATTTGATCAATTTTTCATCCATCATTGTTTTAATCACACATTCTGAACGTTTAAAATTCATCTTTATTAAATGTAAACACACCTTTTAAAGAAAAGGAATGTATGAGTTAAAAGATTATTCATTTGTATAACCGTAGTTCATTGGTTTATTTTGGGATTCCCCAACTGTTTTGTCCAATCTTAAGGGTTTTAGCAGTGGTATATTTTACTGAAATCTCTGTCACCAGGACTGCACAGTGTATGTTTACAGTGGATCTATCCATCACTGCAGACAGAATGATAATAAAAAACCATGTATATATCCGTCAGTGTTAGATAAAACAGTTAAGCATATTCCAAAATCGCTGTGATGGGGAGAAAAAGCTCTTCCTTTAATGTGTTCCAAAATTTCTGGGTCTAATTTGCTTTACTTGTAAAAGATTTTTTGTGACTGTGAATGACAAATGTCCTGCTTGTTACTAGTGTCCTCTCAGTTTGTTTGATTTTTATTTTGGGGGGTGGGGGGCTTAAGGACTTATAATGTTCCACATGTTCAATATAGGCCAAAAAAATAGTTTTTTTTCCGGTGTCCCATATATTTATGGATATTTGGTAAACAGTCAGGGATATAACTCTATAGAGTTATAAGAGAAAAATAACATACATATGTTATTGTGGACTAAAAAATCAAAAAACTGTGATAACATATGTATGTTACATGTTTCAAAGGGCAAATATACATCATTTGTTTTGTTAAAATGTATTCAAGTTCTATTGATATTATCATTGTCTTTATGTATACTAAACTTTAGAAAGACATAATAGTTCATAATATGCCAATCATGCATAGTACACCTATGTTATTACAGAAAAAATATGCCTGAAAAGGCTGAAATAACTAAAGGGTGTTATTACAGCTTCTCTACATCTCTTCAAAGCCTTTGCTCAGACATACATCATACTTGGTCACAATGTATTTGAATTTATTGTAAGAAATAATGGTCAGAGCATGTAATGAGGTTCTGCGCAAGCTTCCCAGTAATTCCCAAGTGTCTCATACAAAAAGTTATATGCCTTTAATAACTAAGCCTTGTTATTACAGCTTACTTTGTCCCTTAAAAGCCTTGCCTCATTGATTTACCATGGTTGATGAAAAATGTATTAATTTAATTGGAAAATTAGTTATCAAGGCTATGTATTTAGTTTCTGTGCAAAGTTTCAAGATTTCCCCAGTGCCCACTAAAAATAAAAATGTTTGATTTATTTAACAAATAACAAACATACAGGATGGTATTTTTGTTCGAGCATATTGTTTTTCTTTAATTGTTTAACATTTCTTACCGATATAACATGTTACTTTTATTATTCTTCCCTTAGTTTATTTATTTTGTATTCAAAATTATTTATTTTGTAAAAATATTTCCTTTCTCTATTGGTACTGTACAGGTATACCTAACAATAAAATTATTTTCATTTACCTGTGTTTAAAGTTATTGCAAATGGATGGTATTTTTGTTCGAGCATATTGTTTTTCTTTAATTGTTTAACATTTCTTACTGATATAACATGTTACTTTTATTATTCTTCCCTTAGTTTATTTATTTTGTATTTACATTGTGTCATAGGTCAAATTTATTTGTTCAGTGTATGTTCAATGGTGTTAATATGTCCTTTGATTGAGTTAAGCTATTTCAGTTGATATTTTATAGTGTGTCTTTCTATGTTGTGATGTTACACTATTGTTTCAGAAAAAGGGTGAAGGTTTGGTACCATTAAAACGTTTAAACCCGCTGCATTTGTTTGCACCTGTCCTAAGTCAGGAATCTGATGTTCAGTAGTTGTCGTTTGTTGATGTGGTTCATAAGTGTTTCTCGTTTCTCGTTTTTTATATAAATTAGACCGTTGGTTTTCCCGTTTGAATGGTTTTACACTAGTAATTTTTTGGGGCCCTTTATAGCTTACTGTTTGGTGTGAGCCAAGGCTCCGTGTTGAAGACCGTACTGTGACCTATAATGGTTTACTTTTATAAATTTTGACTTGGATGGAGAGTTGTCTCATTGGCACTCATACCACATCTTCTTATATCTATGTATGTTACTACAGATTTAGAAAATTGAAGAAATAAGGAGTAGACAACTCATAAAAGTATCTGTAATAACACATGTATGATATTTTCTTTAATAACCCTATAGAGTTATATCCCTGACTGGTAAAGTGCAGTTAAAGTCCAGAAAAATTCCCTATAAAATTGAGATTAGATCTTTTTTCAACTTCCTTCCCTTATTTGTTTAACTACAGGCAGGAAACCAGTTTATGCATTTTGTGTCGCCTTAATGCCTTGCATTTTAAGTAGATTGCTTCACTTTAGGATGAAGACATCATTACATAATTGATTGCTTTCTAAACATTAAGGGGCAAATATTCTGTGCATGCTCGGGATGAGAACCAAATCATACAATAAATAAGAAGAAAAGAATAGGATATATTCTACAAGTCATTTATTTTTAGACAGTGTAATGTAGACAAGTTAGAAGATGTATCATAAAAATGCACTTTTAAACTCGTGACCAGTGTAAGTGAAACCAGAATCTAAGAATGGTAAAATATGTCAACCATATTTATCTGATTTAATGTTGGCCCTATTAATTGGTAAAAAAAAGTTTGCTGGCAAGGGTACCTGGTTAGTGGTACTTTTACCATTCTTAACAAGTTATTTGTATTGCCTTAATTTAGAAATATTCATAAAAGGTACAGAGAAAAAAAAAGTACCTTCTAAAATTCTAAAAGTTCCAGTCCACATAAAAGATAACGAAACCCCAGAGTTTGAAATAAAAAGATGTTTGTTTTTTTTCTTCAGAACAACAGCGGAGGTAGGAGAGATGAAGACGGCCAGGAAAATGGTCAGAATGACGAAAGAGATAGTGGAGACCAGGGCAATGCTGAGAAGAGCGATTAGACCTATAAATAGATAATGCTTTATAAGCAGCTTGTAAATTATTTTGTGTAACTCTGGTGGACATGGCCATGTATTTTGTTGATAAATTTCAATTGTAACACCATCTCATTCAACTATGCAAAAAATGTTTTAACAACTGCCAATTTTTTATTGTACTAAAAAAATAGAAAAAAAAAAGAAAAAAAATTGAAAAAAGATTTATACTACATAATAGTGCTATAAAAAGTTTGAACAAAAGAAATCCGATCAAAATTTTAATGGGCCCAATTAGAAATTGACAACCAGTTTAGAAGATGAATAATATTAAAAGGTTTGAATACCTAAATATGTTTTTATTTTATAGGGAGAGCAATACATTGATTATAGAGCCAAATATATTATAACTAAATGTTTTGATAGAAACTATAACATTTTTAGAATTGCATGAAATCATGACTTAGAAAGTGTTTTAGACCTTAGAACAATTGTTAAAACATCTGGAAAGAGGACCAGCGACTCTTTGTGTAAAAGATACCATGAATTTGTCATGATATATTTGACACAAGTTGACTGACCTGGTGTTTTTATACTTTTTCTTACAAATGAATTTTTTTGTATACTCTTTTTACTACCAGGTTCACCACCAAAAAAAAAATTAATGAATTCAACTTGTGGCTAAAGAATAAATGCAACAAGTGAACAAATTTGTTTATTTCATTTTTCAACAAGGCCCTAAAAAGAATTTTGAACTACCTAGTATGGCTCATGCTAGCCTGCTTGTCTTGATTGCAGGAGGTCAAGGGTTTGATCTGCAGCCAGGTCAAACTAAAGGCTTTAAAACTGGGTATTGCTGCTTTTTTAAGTACACAGCATTAAGAGCAGAAACTGGTCCTCCCCGAGTCAGAATGATGTGTCTGGCCCTGCTAGAGTGATTGTTTCCCAGTGAACTAGCAGGTTAAAAATCCAGCTCTGAATTTCTTGGTCTTAGCAAAAAGCAGTTACATATTCAGTAAGCATCAACATGTTCTCATCCTGAATATGCATTTAATTTGTCACTGTATGTTAGATGGCTACCCATCTTCATCATAAATATACTTCTGTGATTAGGTTTACCTTACCATTTCTTGTTTTACCAGAAAAATGATGTTCCCAATGGCTTTTTTGAGGAATGATTTATGTGCATTTCATACTAAGTAATAAAGATTGAGGGTTGATAGTTCCAGGTATTCAAAATTGATTTCAGAGGTAATAGATTGAAGACTTTTTAATTTTCTAAAGTGTAGGTCAGGTGATAAAATTACTCATAGAAGTGGAAGGTCTAGGACTTGAATTACAAAAAATAAAGATCTACCTTTAGAATAATTTGGGAACATCTGATATTGGTTTATTTGAACCACTGTAGTCTGCCTGCAGTGAAGTCCATTTCTTTTGTTCAAATGTCAAGTTGGCTGTTGCATGTTTTTATGAGGAAGTACGATATTTTGAAAAGGCAATCGAAGTATGGTGTGCTTTTGTATTCATATAACATGCATCTCAATTCAAAGCAAGTTCTAAAGACACTTTCATCCTGGTTAGATATGCTATTGTTTACAGACCTATTGAACCCCCATCAGAATTTAAAAAATCATTTTCTGCTCTAATTTGAAACAAACTTTATTATAAACAGCTTCATTTCTTTTGATAAGTAATTAAATATTCTTCTTGGAATCAATTCTTATTCCATTTTAAGCTCACGTGTCCTTCAGCATTAACTTTTTCAAATATCTTCTCTGAAATTAGTGATCCAATTTCAACCACACATGAGGTTTATAATCCTTATGTTATCTAGTATAAAGTTTGGCCTTTTCCCCAGTCAGTCATGAAAACATGACCACCATGGCTAAAAAAAGAAAGGGTAAAAGACATTAATTGTCTGGCATCTGAAAAAAACCATAAAAGATGGAAAATATCTGACTAGAGCAAAAATGCCCAGAATGACATTTTGCTTATTCAAGACAACTTTGGCCTTTGATCCAACTGAACAAGGGGTGAAAAATTATAGCTCATTTCTTGTGAAAGTTAGGTTTGAAACCGGAATAACTTGAAAACAACCTAAGGAAAAAGAGCGCTAAGATATCTGTAATAAGGTATTACGATGAAAATTCTCATGATTTCTATGAATAAAAACCATAAAAAAAAATATTTAAAGCTTAATAGACAAAGTTTTAAGAAATCAGTTGTCTGTTGATCGTATTTTCCATCTGAAAAGATGACTTTCAAATTATGGATATAAGCTAGGGAACGCCAATTAATTTTTCTAGGCGGCAAGGGTATTTTGAAATTGACTATCCTAGCCTGGTAACAATTGAAAATAAATAATCTTGCCCAAGACGGGATGAAAAGGAACATTTTGCAACACAACAGATGTAAACCAGTGTAAAATTTGTTTTTCACTCTTGACAAAAATCGGCCTGCATAGCAACAGAGAAGATGGATAAGATCAAGATATTTTATTGGTTTAAAATCCAAAATTATAGGATTGATACCAAATTTGACCATTAACATTGGCTATACCAGAGGCAGATTTAGAGGGGTTTTTCAGGAATCCTGGCCCCCCTCTTTTGTGGAAAAAATTTGGTTGATTATATAGGGAATCACTGAACCATGACTGGAACGGGCCCCCTCTTAGCAGTCAGTGGGCCCCCCTTATAAAAATTCCTGGATCCGCCACTGTTATACAAACACATATCTGTCAACATTTATTTACAGTGTATATATATTATAATTTTAATCCGACAAGTGGCATCTGACATTGAGGACGACCATTTGAATTTCGTGGTTGGGATACGAGACGAAGTTTTTGCTGATTGAATATTCATTTTCATCTGTTGATTAATAAATAACTTTGTTTACACCCCACTTCTATTGTTATACTTCATAGTTTCTATTTCTGAAACAAGTGTAAATTGAATGGATCTATTGTTACGAATAACAATGGATTTTGATCACAGGGTGTGACGAGCGGGGTTTCTGGAAACCCCTGCTTCTTCATCCCGAAAACACAGTCCATTAATATTGTTATTCGTTACAATAGAAATTGATTATTTTTAAATAGCATGAACATAAGAAATTACTAATAGTGTTCGCTACAAGTTGTTTCAAGATATTAAAAAAACATATTTAAGGAAATTCCAGAAGCGAAAAAAATATTAAGCATCTATTTTGAATAAAAAAAATCCTTTACAGAAAAAATAATTTGATTGATAGCGGTTGAAAAACTAGATAAAATTGTTCGCAATTTGCGAGAATTTTTTTCTTCAAAAAACCATACCCCCCTTTTTGAAGTTAAAATGGTTGCTCCCTAAATACTCCTTTGCTTGAAGGTAAAATTTTTGATCTCAGTCATATGTCTCTATTCTAAAGCATTGATCTTTAAAAAAAGTTGGGAATTCTAACTCCCGACCATCACCCCCCCCTCCCCCCCCTCCCCTCCCCCCCCTCCCCCCCCCCCCCCCCCCCCCCCCCCCCCGTGGATTGCCCCAAAAAAGGGAGTTCCTAAATATTCGATCTGTATTTTTGTATGTTGAGCGTGTTTGGTCGTCGGGTTTCAAATCCAGACACACCTATCCCTCATGAATGTCTGTTTATTCTCGAGAAGAGGGGGGAGGGGCTTCTTTTTTATACGACCGCAAAAAAATTTTTGTGGTCGTATATTGGTATGACGTTGGCGTCGTCGTCGTCGTCGTCGTCGTCCGGCGTCGTCCGAAGACACATTGGTTTTCGCACTCTAACTTTAGTTTAAGTGAATGGATCTTTATGAAATTTTAGCACAAGGTTCAATACCACAAAAGGAAGGTTGGGATTGATTTTGGGGGTTATGGTAATAACAGTAAAGGAATTAGGGGCCAAAAAGGGGCCAAAAATAAGCATTTTTGTAACTTCCACACATAACTTGTGTGTTAGTGTATGGATCTCTCTGACATTGTACCACAAGGTTCCATATCACTAAAGGAATGCTGGGATTGATTTTGGGGGTAATTGCCTCCAAATTTTAGGAATTAGGGGCAAAAAAAGGGGCAAAAAACAAGCATTTTTCTAGTTTCATGACAATAACTTGTGTGTAAGTGTATGGATCTTTCTGAAATTGTACTACAAGGTTCCATATCACAAAGGGAAAGCTGGGTTTGAGTTTGGGGGTAATTGCCCTAAACGTTTAGGAATTTGGGGCCAAAAAGGGGCCAAAAAACACATTTTTTTCTAGTTTCCAGACAATAACTTGTGTTCAAGTGTATGGATCTCTCTGAAATTGTACTGCAAGGTACCATACCACAAAGGGAAGGCTGGGATTGAGTTTGGGGGTGATGAATCATAAGGGGGTTCAAAAAATTTGGGGGGGGGATTTTTTTTTTTTCTTTTTTTTTTCTTTTTTTCATTTTTTGTTTCTTTTAAAATTTTCCATTTTAAGTTGGTTATTTCTGATTTATATTTAAAATCAAATAATAATGATATGGTAGGAGATACACACCAAACAGGATGTGTAAATTATTATATAATTAGTATTGTGCAATAGCAAGAAATTTTCAATTGCACAGTATTGCACAATAGCAAGAAATCTTCAATTGCACAGTATTGCGCAATAGCAAGAAATCTTCAATTGCACAGTATTGCGCAATAGCAAGAAATATCCAATAGCACAATATTGCGCAATAGCAAGAAATTGTCAATTGTACAGTATTGCGCAATAGCAAGAAATATTTAATAGCACAGGATTGTGCAAAAGAAGATACTTCCTATAAATTGCTTATTTCTTGACCAATTTCAATGGGGTTTTATTCTTGATTTCATGGGGTTCTTTAATATTCTGAATCTAACCGTGTATTTAGTTTTTGGATTTTGGGCCCCGTTTTTAAATTGGTCCACATTGAGGTCCAAAGGGTCCAAAATTAAACTTTGTTTGATTTCATCAAAAATTGAATTATTGGGGTTCTTTGATATGCCGAATCTAACTGTGTATTTAGATTCTTAAATTTTGGTTCCGTTTTCAAATTGGTCTACATTAAGGTCCAAAGGGTCCAAAATTAAACTTAGTTTGATTTTAACAAAAATTGAATTCTTGGGGTTCTTTGATATGCTGAATCTAAACATGTATTTAGATTTTTGATTATGGGCCCAGTTTTCAAGTTGGTCCAAATCAGGGTCCAAAATTAAACTTTGTTTGATTTCAACAAAAATTGAATATATGTGGTTCTTTGATATGCTGAATCTAACCATGTATTTAGATTTTTGATTTTTGGGCCCCGTTATCAACTTTGTCCACATTGAGGTCAAAAGGGTCCAAAATTAAACTTTGTTTGATTTCATCAAAAATTGAATTATTGGGGTTCTTTGATATGCCGAATCTAACCGTGTATTTAGATTCTTAATTTTTGGTTCCGTTTTCAAATTGGTCTACATTAAGGTCCAAAGGGTCCAAAATTAAACTTAGTTTGATTTTAACAAAAATTGAATTCTTAGGGTTCTTTGATATGCTGAATCTAAACATGTATTTAGATTTTTGATTATGGGCCCAGTTTTCAAGTTGGTCCAAATCGGGGTCCAAAATTAAACTTTGTTTGATTTCAACAAAAATTGAATATATGGGGTTCTTTGATATGCTGAATCTAACCATGTATTTAGATTTTTGATTTTTGGGCCCCGTTATCAACTTTGTCCACATTGAGGTCAA